CTCAGAAAGCTATATATTTCGTCTGTTACGACAGCCGGTGTTTGTCTCTTTTTCTTGTTTATTTCCTATAAATTATATTTCGGACAAAGAATAATAAAACAACTAATTTTTTATATAGCATTTTTTTCTTAAAGTTGCGTATTAATTTTCAACTTCATTCATAACAGCAAAATGACATTCTAAGAACGCAATTCATTCATAATAGGAATAACGCGCGAATAACGTTATGCAAAGCACGCGACTTGGCAGGTATTTCAAGCACCGGTGTAAACAGTAGATAATCCTGTCTGATATGCACAAATGTTTCTTCTAGCATAACAGACTGGTAATTACTTTCTTGCATTGGGAGTGTCACATAAGTCTCGTGCTATACAATGGTATTCTTAGAATGACGTAATTTCGCCGGTATGCATATGAATGAAGTTGATATTTCATACGCTGTGATAAAAATAGTTACGGGTGTAATGACATAATTACCCATGGACAATTGTTTTTCAAGGTAAAGAATTTAAAACATGATGGAATATGGTAGAATATGCAAGAAAAATATATAGGACTTATGTTTGCGGCAAGCCTCGTTACCGCCTATTCGGGACGGATATTCCGATCTGAACCCAAAAATATGACAAATATTATTTGTCTAATATACTTAACTTGATAAAAATGTTGTCATGAAAAATTGGCCCAAACAAGGCATAAACAAGGCAGTATTTTATGGTATTAATTCTTAAAGATTTGTATTATATATGTATATATTGTACTTTAACAGACTTTACACATGGATTGTTCTCGATCTTTTGGTACAACTTATTCTTTAACGTCCTTGGGAAAGCTTACTTATGTTAATGATTACTATTAATCAGAAGATTAAGACAAGTCTATCCTCGGATAATGATACATAGAGAAAAAACTTTACGTCTCCTTATTTGGATGCTTTAAAAACCTCCAGTAAATAAAATAAGGTGTGTACATATTTCACGAACCCATCTGGTTAAATGGCATGCTTTACTATGGTCAAAACATATTTTTGATATTGTCTGCAATATGTGTTTCAACTTTGGTGAATTATATATTAGTACAATGGAAGTGTAAATAAGCATTTGTGTGCATTTGTCAATGTTATGTTGAAGGTTAAAATAGTTCAATTTATTATGGAAGTATTACGTTCTGTAAAATATAAGATTTGTTTTTAGACGTTTGGATATAATATGTGCAACACCAATTTTGTGAAAACAAGATATTATTAATCACTAAAACAGTTTATGTTTACCATTTCATTGTGTGGATAGATTAAGGATTCACACTTTTAACATAGAAAAACATATGAAAACATAAAAACTTTATGTAGGTGGCGGTGTAACACAATACATTTAACTAACATAATTCATCATTTTTACGAAACACGAATCAAAATTAGAATCACAGGAAACGACAAGCGTAGGAAGGTGTGAAAGGTTCATTTTTCCCAAACTTGCCGGATGTAAACAGGATAAGTAGTAATCACCACTTGATTGTCTGATTATTTCTTGCAAAAACTGTAGAAAATGCGTACGATGTAAATAAAAATATTCAAATGAAGACATTTCCTCTTGCAAATGATGCTGGCAATATTTTCCCTCGAATTTAATGGCATTATCATATTTTGTCTATAATTATACGATTTGAATCCTCTTTTGTTACACAGTATTAATTTAATTGTTTTAAGGGAATAACAATGTCAATAAAAGCAAATTTCTATTCACGTCACAACAAGTTTAACCTACACATACTATATATTTCGACTGAATTTATACTGGTGTCCCTAGCGTAAATTAAGCTTTTAGACTTTATCTTCTCGCAAAGCTGCTGGTGTATATATTCTTCATGGCAATAAAAAGAAGTTCTGTACTTTTCTGAGCATTCTCTTATCTTTAAAAATGAATAATCACTTAGTTTGGGCATTGGCTGATAAGCTTGAAAACAAACATTGCAAATACTGTATACTTAAAGGGAATAAATCTATATCTTATGAGATATTTTTATAAATTTATCAACAGTAAAATTATATTGGTTCCATTATTATATGGTTGATTCCCGAAAAAGTCGTAACATAGAATGTCTCTGTTATTTAATACACTTGAATATTGTAAGTTAACAGAATAAAATGTTCCGGAACAAAATATTATTTTGTTGTCTTAAGTAGCGTTTTATCCGGTTAGCAATGATTTTGTGCATGCATCATTTGCTTTTAATGCAATTTTCTGCGATGTTTATTTCATACAAGCAATTTCGAAGTATTCTTTTTTAAAATTCAAACAATAATTTTTGAAGCAGATATATAGCTTTTTACACTTTTAAATTAATAATATGATACTAATATGATGTTAATTAAGGGTTATTGTTGAAATGTAAAATATGTTTAAACATTATGCCCTTATGTTTGCATTCAGCTACTTGCATATCATTATTAACACATAACACACTGTGAATTTGTATACACATTTCAACTAAATATGTTGGTACGTTTGAGATAGTGGCTGACTGTTGCCATATTAGTGCATAGTCATGGACAATTCACGTTTCTATCTTTGTTTATTTGTTTGTTTGTCTGCTTGTAATTGTACATGATGAAGTTGACAATTACATGTAAGCGATTTACATTTATTCGGTTTCGTGAATTTTTCAACAAATGGAAAATATTTTAATGTGTTAATACTTAAGCCAAACACAAAATTGTCCAGATATTTTCCATACATACATACATATTAAATGTATTATTTGTTTGTTTGTTTGTATGTTGAGTTTAGCGGCACATTGACACATAACTGGCCATACCGCACCGGACAATATAATTGTTTATGCTTTAAGAAAAGAAAACAGTCCATTACACACAACCGCCATATATTACAGATTGTAATGCGTTTGCCACCCGTTTTGACACCCTGTAACTAATCCTTTTTGCATGCAAATATATAATTAAAGTCAAAGAGTGTAATAAACTTATGACACTATATGTTACTGGCTTTACCGAAAATTACTTTGTATTTAATACGACAAGCACCGAAGTCGCATTCAAAACGGTGGTCACGTTGCCATAGTCATGATCTCAAAAGGTATCCAATTTCTAGAATAATTTGTTATCTAAGTAAAATATAATGACTTTACAGTTGTATGCGCCATTTCAAACTTTTCAGTTTGACTTGCATTAAAATAGATTGATCCGTTTACAAACAACGATGCTCGTTACGGTGTTAAATATTGAATATATAATATATCACATCCGGCCTTACTATAACAGATGCATAATGTCTGAGACATTTTTATATTCCAGCGTTACGAAATGCATTATGTAATGAAAACGCAAGTAGCTTATAACAGAAATCAAAATTTAATGTAGTAAAATACAAAATATCACTTAAAGAAATATTCCTTTTTGAAAAATATGTTTGTCAATAAAAGTGATAGTTCCTGAAATTATTCTCCAGGAAGTCTTATCATTTACTCATTCATTTCCATTTTGTTCCAGACAATATCTGTATGTTACAAGTTGATAAAGTACTCTGGTCCCAAAGGGCGCCTACAAATTATGTTTAATGAACCCTTTGCAGCAGCAAAAAAACATCTTGATGTGATTTCAAAATAACTACATTTATCAGCGACAATTTATCAAAAATAATTATTATAGTAATGCTGGCAATAAAGGAAGGAAAACATTTAAAGGTTTTGCCGTTATGAGCAGTATTTAATTGCTAGGTCAGAGTTGTATATTTTAGTCGTTTTAATTTCATCGCGTCTTCTCAAATCTACATTATTGATGACGCACATCAATTCATTTGATCAGTATTTGATCGTTGATGTAAGTGTACCGTCCGCTGTGTATAATTAATCGACAATTTATCAAAACTAGTAGTATGATGTAACGCTTGCAATAACCAAAACATAAAACATTAAAAGGTTTATCGTTATTAGCAATCTTTTGATGCTAGGTTAGTGCTGATAATATTTTAGTCATTTTAGTTTTTACATATCGTATTTAAACGAAACTGCATGATTGTTGACGTAAGTCATTTTAGTAAAGTAGAAATGGATCTTTCATGTACCTTCCGCTGTGTATAATTTATATTTCACTAATGTTTCTTATATTTTTGCAATGCAAAGCAATTAGAAAAAAGCTGATCCATTAAATAACTTTTGATCTTGGACTTTATTTTTCAAGACATAAAAGTAATTTCATATTAAAAAGGAAGTGATCAGGTACTGTCTGAAAATTTTCGGATCTTATAACGCGGTGAATAAAACCAGAATTATCGAAATAACATTTTACCGACAATTTTTTACGGAATTGTAACAAAATTGTTGTTGATCTAGACAAAATATAATAATAAATTTATATAGTTTATTTTCCTTAAGTTTATAAATAAGACAACTACTAAATAAGACAAAGACTAAAATGATAGTCAAAGGTCTTTGAATGTAAACAGTTTATGAAACTATCGTATAAAATCGCCTGCAGTTACACTCAAATTGTCACAAACAAGACATATGCATTTTTTAAAATTTATTTTCATATATTTTGTATTACTATTTAATGCTGAAAAAGTGCAATTAAATTGACAATTTATCCTCGAGACATGTGAAAGCACCACGTTTGCATTATTCAAAACATTAAATGAAAGAAAGAAACGTTATTCCATAGCAAAGCACTGCATTGATCATAATGTGAACATAAATTTGCAGAAAATTATAGGATAAGTTTTGCTGACTTTGTTGGGTTCACAAGGTGGTATCGTGTTTCCGGTATTAATTCAACACACAACTGGAATAGTTAAAAGTAATATTGAGGTAAGGTAAATCTGTAAGGTAAATGCCTCTGTTCTGAAAACAAAGTATAACGGTTCCAAGACTTTTGAAGATCAAATACTTGCAAAATTGATTATTGTTAGACATTTATGAAAATTTTCTAGATATGAAATGTACACTTTCTTACGAAAGACCGGTGGTGACTTCTGACTTCAGAGTTCGGATTTCAGAGTTCAGACTTCGGATTTCAGACTTCAGAGTTCAGAGTTCAGACTTCGGATTTCAGACTTCAGAGTTCAGAGTTCAGACTTCGGATTTCAGACTTCGGATTTCAGACTTCAGATTTCAGAGTTCAGAGTTCGGATTTCAGACTTCAAAGTTCAGAGTTCAGACTTCGGAGTTCGGATTTCAGACTTCAGACTTCAGATTTCAGAGTTCAGACTTTAGACATAATAAAAATCCACGTCATTACACGTCATTTCCGCTCTTTCAGTTCAGTGATTAGTACGCCATGGGAAAGGGCATGTATTCTTGGATGTTATTGGTAAGTTATATATTAGTACATTGTCTTTGTATTTGGCAAATTATATTTGTATGGTTGAGTTTATTTTAATACATGTTATTCTAGAATGTAATAAAATTTCTCAAAATTAGAATACTGTTTTGTTTGATGATAAAGTTGGTAAAATGTTATCAAACTTAGCCTCGAGGCACCAGTTATCAGACGATTAATACACTTACTTCCCTGCAAAGAGAAAACAATGGGATATATTGTGTATTTCTTTTATTTTTATTTTTGTAAATTTTTACTATGGACGACAACAACCATGTTCTCAAGTCATATTTATTATCTCCTTTCGGCATCGATTTTAAGGTCAAAATAAAAAACTTCAAAGCAATTGTCCCTTCTCAAAATGATGACCTAATGATAATTGGTTCCTGTCGATAATTGGTCCCTTTAGGCTAAATGATAAATCGTATGTTTTACAAAGTTTCTTTTATTTTGATCATTTTCAGATCTTTATACTATGGTCTTGTTCTATTGTCGATCCAGTACTTGCTGTGTTGCCAGTTGACAAGCAAAGAACTCAGGTGTTTCAAGTAAAGTTGGATCTAATACAGCATTACTTCTGTCGTGGATACAAGTACAAGGAAATTTTAGCTACACTTTCGGTCATTCATGGAATAAGAATAAGTTATAGACAATTAAAACGACTGTTAAAGCGAATGAGCTTATTTAGAAGAGGTCCAGAGTCTCAAATTGAAACGATTATAAGTGCCATTTTAAAAGAAATATCTGGAGGTGGTCGATGTTTGGGTTATAAGACTATGTGGTGGCGGCTTAAAGATTTCTATGGATTACATGTACGTAGAAAAACTGTTCTTCGTTTGATGTGGATAGCGGACCCAGAAGGTATGCAGAGACGAAAGGCCAAGCGTCTACTTCGTCGCCAATACTCATGTCCTGGTCCTGACTTTATCTGGCACATCGACGGATATGATAAAATTAAACCCTTCGGATTTGCAATTCACGGGCAGTAGACGGATTTAGTAGAAAGATTATATGGCTTGAGTTGGGTCCAAGCAATACCGATCCAAAAATAATAGCTCGATATTTTTTAAACAGTGTAAAGGAAAGTGGTGCTTGCAGAGTTCCAGCAGTGATACGCAGTGATCTGGGTACAGAAAATAGAATAATTCGACAGTTGCAAATATATGTCCGTTTGCACCACCATGATGATCATTCAGCTTGAAAAGGCTTCATTCAAGGTAAAAGTACCTCAAATCAAAGAATGGAATCCATGTGGAGCATGCTTAGACGTCAGTGCATGGACTTTTGGATAAGTTTTTTCAAAGACTTGCGAGACACAGGTATCTATTGCGATGGTGATATGTTCCAAAGACAATTTTAATGTATTGTTTCACACCTGTTATACGAAGTGCATTAATTAAATTTACGAATGAGTGGAATTCACATGATATTTCTAAGGGGAAAACAGATGGACCACGAGGTAAACCTGATATCATGTATACATTACCTGAACTATATAACACTAAGAATTATAGCCACAACGTTAACAAAGAAGAAGTTGATGTATGTACGGAAATATATTCGAAACCACCTAACCTTGAAGGCTGTTTTCCTGAATTCTGCCGATTGTTCAAACTTGTTAACCCGACAACGCCGACCACAGCAGATGAATCATTTGATCTATATCTAGAAATAATTTCGCAGATTCGAAATTATCTATAAAAGGAAATAAAATTGACTTGACTAAATTGCCTCATTCTGAGCCCACATTTTTAAACTTGACCTGAAGATCATTTAGATACAGTATAAATATAGAGGATATCACATGAGTGTCTTTTCATATTGAATTTATTAAATGAGTTTGATAAAATGATGGATTACGGGGCTCGGTCGAGCATGTTATCGTCAATGAGTTTAATAAGTTCAATGTTAAAAGACACGAATGTAATATTCTTTATTATTATATGATCTAAATATATCTGCAATCTCATTGGTCCAAACAGTAGTCAACAGAACTTTTTATAAAATCATATTTACTGGGTGTAGTCATATTCACTGGCTGAATTGGATTTTCCCAGTCTAAAAATAGATTGAGACTCATATTCAATGATCATACACCGTAGACTGTTAAATACGCGTGTTACTTAAAAAATAATTGTTGCTTTTTGTTCTTTTTGGCATATTTCTCGATTAAAATATCAATACATTACCATTTTACTTAAAGGCTACACCGCAATGTTGAGTATAAACTTGAATTACTTTTGTATGCGCAGCGTTCGCGAAGTCGTTGCACGCCTAACACGTGCGTCTTTTTTCCCGCGCTTCAACGAGGCAAAATTTGTACATGTATATAAGGTTGTACTTTTTGTGATGTTTTTTATTTCTTAGCCTATTCATATAATAAAACAATTATTGACTAGTGAGCCATTGAATATGATGTGATATTCACCGGCAGAAAATCATATTGACCTAGGCTATCGCCTCGGTCAATATGTCATCTGCCGGTGAATATCACATCATATTCAATGGCTCACTAGTCAAAAATTGTATAATATCACATGTTAATTTAAAGGGGATGTCTTCCAGAATATGATAATTTTTCTTTTCTTCGGGAAATTTATTTCTGGACACACTGAGATCGTAAGAACAAATTATTGAATAAACTGAATTTAATAAATAAAAGAGTGTCACCAGCATGGCTCGAACTCACGCATATAGTTCCAAACTCCTGACGCCTCGACAGACTGCGTCACAATAACTGTTGATTAAGACGGAACTAAGTTCAATTTTATACAAATCAACTTATACCGTAGCGCTACGCTATAGATTTATAGATGTTTTGTTAATGCAGTCCAAATATGTAGTTTTATCATTGTATGACACTTTGCTACTAAATAATGTTAACTTTGATGATTACGTGATGTTTAATTATATTTGAATGTATGTATTTTGTTACCATGTGCATTTTGTACACGTCTTATATGAATAAACTATAGATCTATCTATCTATTTAAAGGTGTTAAAAATACAATTTGTAATGTGTTTATTTAGTTCATTCCTTGACAGTAACTTACTTACATATCCCTTTTCATAAATAGTACAAGAAATTTCATATACAAAATTGTTTTCAAAATTCATTTTTTCAGCCATCCGGTAGACAACACCTTTAAGTTTGATATTGAACTACTGAGCATTTGTCATTTCTGGTCCTAAATTAATGCTGTGAATTCAGCGAACGTCCGCACACATAAGATGAAGTCGACGCCAAAACGATATTACTCAAGTGTAAAATAGAAAAACATGGTTACTTCACTCCCGCGACATCAAACGTGATAGACAAGGTTTATTAACATTGTTGCAATAATTAAATTCTTGGAGTGATTTAAACGTCAAAATGATTATGTTTAATTTGCCAACTGTTTGATTCACCTTAGTTACATCAAATGAAACATTTTGGTAAGCAAAAATTGTCACTTTTTGGAAAAAAAATTAATAACGTGTATCTATTTT